AGATAATCCAAGACGTTTCTTCTTAAATGTTTTGTTATTTGATTATGTAGTTTCTTAAAAAGAATGACCGCAAAAATCGCCCATACTTTGGACTCTCAATTTTGGAATTGAGCTGTCAAATTTTATCTTATATTCAGACATTAATCACAGTTAATATCTCATTGTAGGGTATCATTTGGCACATAGTTCAGTCTAATTTTTTCAGTCCAAAAATTGGGGGCCTAAAAAATGAAGGAAGAAACACTTTTTGCGGTCACTCTTTATTATTTGTAAATGTAATGGTTATATTAAATTCAGATTGTTATGTTATAATATTATTACTGTTATACTGATACAAATGAAGATCTCTGAATTTGAGTATTTTAACACTAATTTTTTGTGCAAAAACGTAAGTATTAACAATTATTAATATTAATTTTATGAACAATAACGATGTAATATCTTCCTTTAATATAAGTGAAATATTTTAAGATTTTTAGTGGATCATCCTGTATATTACATGTGCAATAAAATATACATTTAAACGAAAATTATTGCATTAGCAAATAAATCTCTTGTGCAATTATGTATTTATATATATATATAAAACACATTAGTAATATATTATTTGTATTTTCTGCAGTTACATTTCAAAATATAATTTCCCAATATAAATTAAGTGTTAAAAAATTTATCTATAAAGAAAAATGATTTAATTTTAAAAATATCATATGAAAAATAATTTTAAATTTAACTTATGTTAACGCAATTTTTAACTGAAAATTGATTTTTTAAACCATTAATTTTTACTTTATTTTAACTTAATTTAAAAAACATATTAATTTATCAGGTGGTATTTACTAATGATTATTTTATATGTTTACTAAAGTACTATGATTTACTTTAAAAATGGATAACTTTAATGAATACATAAATTTTGTTTATTACATGTGTTTACTATATGTGACTACATAATAATTATATATAAGAATTTGTTAATAGTAATAATTTATTTTTGTTTCAGCGTATATTTTATTTTTTTAAATTCTTTTTATTCTATAAAAGCTTTCCTTTTCATGAAAACTACTAATTTATCAAATTAAAAAATAAAACATAAATGGTATTGTTTTTTGTTATTTATACAAACTTATTTTTTTTAAAAAAGGTTAAAAAAGCGCTAAGCACGCGTGCTTTTCGTGAAGAATCATTTGAGCCGATTTCATCAACGCCAATTACTTAATTGGCCGTAGAACTGACTAATTGTATTTGCTGTTTATTAGAATTGACCACTTATTGTTGACACTAATTCGGCTTAATCGAGTTGGTGAAGTCGGCCTTTTGTATAATACTAAGTATCAAACCCAATTAATAGAAATTTTAATAGTAATTTTAATTTTTTTTCAAGGATATTTTTATTGAAGATCTTATTCCAAATCATGTAATGGCAACTTTAATTCTCTGTCAAAAATTATTACTTTTCGAAAAAAATTAATATATCAAATGAAAAATTAAAACTCGGATGCTACAATCTTAACTAATGAAGTTAAATTCTATTAAATTAAAAAGTAAAACACAAATGATACGAGTACTGCTTCTTGTTATTTATTTAAATGTAATGATATGTATCATTCGTATAAAAGATTTGATATCAACAAAATTGGCGCCAAGTGAAATTCCGCAAAATTTTATGTATTATTTATAAAAAAGATTTGATATCAACAATTGGCGCCAAGTTAAATTCCATGTAATTCGTATATCAAGTTATATAAATAATATTAACTTTAATGATATTTCTATAAAAGATTTGATATCAAGAACTAGCGCAAAGTTAAATCCCATTTCTTTATACCATGCTAAATTAAATAAATAATGAATATTAATCTAATATGTATCATTTGTATAAAGGAATTGATATCAACAACTGTGGTGCCAAGTTCTACTATCAAAATAAAAAGTAAAACCCAAGTGATACTATCTTTATTATTATTTATTTAATCCAAATGATACTATCTTTCATTTTTATGAAATTAAACCTAATTATACGTATATCTTGTTGAAGGATCTTCCTATTCCAATTTAAATGATTCAAATTCTTCTTAAATGAAATTATTATATCACAATTCATTCATAGTCATTTTCTCTTTCAATTGAAGTAGTGGTTATTTAATTCTCCTTTAAAATATTATACAAAACATTATCACAAAATTGCGTTACCTTGCTCAATTTAAGTGTTATCACAAAAAATTAAAGACTTAATCGTATAAAACAAAAAAATTTAATTTAAATAGAAAAATTTTTCATGTAAAAACACTTGGCGCTGCTAGATCAAGTGAGAAAAGCTATAAAAACAATTTAAAATTATAATTAATAAAAATAAATAATAAAAGGTAATTATAATTTAAAAGTAATAATAGAAACAATAATAAATTTAATCTGAATTCTCTACACTGAATAAGAATAAAGTTTACTATTCATTTCTCTTTTATAACGCATGTTCTTACAAATCGAAATTTAATTTTTTTTAGATTTAAACTTAATAATATTCACAATGTCCATAATTTGCACGACTCTATAATTTAATCGCATATATACACACATATATACGCTACATACTCTTTAACTCTCATTGGGAATGCTTCTTATTTTTTCTTATTTCTTTAAATATTAATATTTTTTTATATGATTTTAATTCTTCATATTATAATATACTTTTTAATTTATTAGAAAGTGGCTAAGAAATTTACAAAGGTTAAAAAATAAAGAGCATATAGCCACAACTAAGAATGTAAATAAGTTCTATATTATTATTTAAACATAATAATAGGTAGACGTTTCGGTCAAGATTTGACCCTCTTCAGTATAATAAATACGTTAAAAATTAAACTAAAAACATAATTTGACTAATAAAACAGTAATGACAAATATTGTAGTACAAAATTTAATATTTCCTAATTATACAGAATTGTTCGCAATCGATATAAGTGATTTAAGATAAATTTGAAACATTGAAATCAAATCAAATACAAAATTCGAACGATAATTATAACGATAGCTTGTACGCATTTTGTTATTTCCTTATACGAATTATTCGCAATCGATGTAATTGGTCATCGAAAATAATACTGCCCTTGTCGTACAAAAGTCAATTTTTTGGATATAAAACTTTTGTACGACAAGGGCAGTATTATTTTCGACTTGTACACAAAGCCTACTAACTCGGGGAGATACTTAAATTTTTTCTCAAATCACCCTATCATACACAAAAAAAGTGTTGTGATTGGGTTATTTGACAAAATTCTATTCCTATCGCATCCAAAATTCCATCACACTAACATCGATTCCTTAATCAACACCCTCCTCCGCAACGGGTATCCTCTACAATTTGTATTTAAAACGATAAAAAATAGAATAAAAACGCTTTTCAGAAAAAAGAATTTTAATACCATAAATGAACATAATATTAACTCTAACGGTAACTCTTCTGAAATGAAAAAATATTTCACGATTCCTTATTTAAATAAAACTTCTGAGAAATTCAACGTAGCACTTAAAAAATTTCAATTTGATTTTGTATACAAACCGATGAATAACTTAAACAGGTTCATTAAAACTGGAAAAGGTAAAATAAAAAAAGATGAACTTTCGAATGTCGTATACCAGATCAATTGCAAGGACTGTAATTATTCGTATGTGGGACAGACAAAAAGGAAATTAAAGACGCGACTAAAAGAATACATAAATGATATTAAAAAAACTATCAATTCCCTCTCGGTCATCTCGAATCACAGAATTGAAACTGATCACGCGATAGACTGGCTTAATACAAAAATATTAGATTCTGAACGCTCGCACTATAAAAGATTGATTTCAGAAATGATTTACATAAAAACACAAAAAAAAATGGATTAAATAAACAGAGTGATACTGAGAAGTTTCCAGACCTTTACCTCCCTCTCCTTGAAAAAGAATTTTAGCCCCTCTAAAATTCTTCCACTTCCTTTTCCTTCTTCTTAACTTCCCCCTTCTTTCTCCTTCGTTCCTACTATAAATAGACCTACAATTTCGGGCTTGGGGCATTGTAAAAGTAAAGATCAATTTTTAAAAAAATATCACAGTGTTCATGTGTTTGGATGAGTTCCCGCGTCACAAGATACACGTAAGTTTATCAAATTCATACTTAAGTTTTAGGAAAGGTCTCTAAATAGCTTTCGTTTGTAAATTTAAACATTAACAATTTTTGTAAATTAATTGCTTTATATATAAAAAATATGATAATAATTAACTCATTTATTAAATTGATTTTGTGTTACAATAGAACTCGGTACTTGTGTGTCTCTTCGCGTGCTTATCTGTATTTTTATATTGAAGATAAAAAGTATGGTATTAAAAACCTTTGCAACTGGAAAAGATTTCTATCCATATAATATGATGACTATTATCGCGGACCAATTACATCGATTGCAAATTGTTCCGTATCGGGAGTGTACGGTAAGGAGGGGGCCAGGTAATTAACGGGCAAAGTGTTTCGGTTTTCTTTCCACTTTATTTTCAACACCACACACTGAGAAATCGTTCTCACTTTCGTTATTGACTCCGAACCTCCAACACGAAATCGTTGACAACGTGAGAGTCGCGTCGTCGTGGCCACCCAAAGTCGGTATCCCAGCACAACCACAAAGGTACAAGCGAGCGATGCCGCGATTAAGCAGCGGAAAAAAGCCCACGACAGCACGAGCAATCGTGATGAACGGTCGGCTAGACAAAACGAGAGAGCGAGCTGTAGCGCGCAACGCCAAACCCCCCCCGCATCACGCACGTACCCAAAAGCGTCCACAGAGGGAGCTCGGAGCTTGATTAATGCGAGACATTGAGCTACCGATATTATACATTGCGCCCGCCCTGGACCCTCCGGGATCCAGCATAGTGCTCAGTGTTGAACCCTTAGATCAAGCTTATTAATCTTAACTACGGTAAATACACTAAGTCTAATTTTGACTACCTTAAACTAACAGTCGCACCGATTACACAGAAGTCGCGCCATTGCCAGCAGTATCATCATTATGAACGACCGGGAGCACCGCCAGTTTAATTAACGGGCGGACAAGCGTCGTGGACGCTGTGCGAACTGAGACCACCCTGATCAACCCATCCTTACCAGGATGGCACTTAACAATACGACCTAATGGCCATTTAGTGGGGGGAGTATTCTCATTTCGCACTAACACTAGCTGTCCCACGCGAACTGGCTTATGTCGAGAGCGCCACTTCGAACGCTGCTGGAGCGACGTTACGTAGTCCGAGCTCCAAAGCTTCCAGAATGATTCCAGCATTTGTTGATACAATTGCCAACGACCTAATCGATTTGCATTGAGATTTAATAGCGTAGGTTCAGGGACTGCCGTAATATCGCTCCCCACAAGAAAGTGACCGGGAGTCAATGACGCCAAGTCATCCGGGTGATCCGTCAGCGGCGACAGCGGTCGAGAATTGAGGCACGCTTCGATTTGACACAACAGCGTCGTAAACTCCTCAATCGTCGGAGTGTGTGCACCGATGACACGTCGGAGGTGATGTTTCACGCTACGCACGCCACTCTCCCATAACCCGCCGAAGTGCGGGGCGGCTGGAGGAATAAAACTCCACGTAATGCGGTTTTCGGCCAGGAAATTCTGAAAATCTGGGTCTGGTTGTGCAGACTGAACGGCTCCAACTATTGCTGGGGCTGCGCCCCGAAATGTTGTGCCTTGGTCGCTATATATGCATTGAGGTAGACCGCGGCGTGAGGAGAATCGTTTAAACGCGGCTAAAAAGGCATCAGTGGAATAGTCCATGACTAGTTCCAAATGTATTGCTCGAACAGACATGCAGACGAACAATGCCACATAACAGGGATGAGAGCGTTTTCCCCGACCCTTGGCCTCACGTATTTGCAACGGTCCTGCGTAATCCACGCCGACATGCTGAAACGCACGGGCTGGGCGTAGGACTCTGGCAGGTGGCAGTGCTCCCATGAGTTGGGTAACAGCTACAGTCTTCAGCCGAGCGCAGATGAGGCATTTAGCGATTGCAGCCCGCACCAACTGCCGGGCACGCAGAATCCATACGGTTTGACGTAGCGTGCGCAATGTCAACTGCAGGCCGCCATGTAAACAACGTTGATGCTTATAACGAACATACAGCCGAACTAGCGGATGATCCTTTAATATGAGCGGATGTCTACCAGAATATTCTAAGTCGGACCGGGAGAGACGACCACCGACTCGCAAGAAGCCCTTGTCATCCACAAAGGGATCGAGGGATACAACCGGACTCTTATCAGGGAGAGGACCAGGATGTGATTTCCCAGCGAGACAGCGAATCTCCTCCGAAAAACAAGACTTCTGAATATATCGGAACCAGAATTTTTCTGCGTATTCGAACTCTGATGCATCTATTCTGCTTGTTTCCGAACGACTCTCCCGTCTTTCTTTACGACTAGGTGTCCAACGAATTAGATAGGCGGTTACACGCACAAGTTTCGACCACGAAGAATACCGCTCTCCTAATTCCTCGAGAAAGGGATTGTTAATGTGACACATGTGAGAGACCGAAGCTCTATCGGTCCTGCTGAAGTCACCGCCGAATTGGGGCATGGGAGGCCAACATGACGAATCAAGCAAGAGCCACTGTGGTCCGTGCCACCACAGCAGAGAGTCGATTAAGTCAGCAGCGCTAGAACCTCGTGAGGCAATGTCGGCTGGGTTTTCCGCGGATGGTACGTATCGCCAGACTGAATTCGGGAGGAGCGTGTGAATTTTCGTAATTCTATTCGCCACAAAAACGTCACGTTTGGCTGGCTCACTACCAAGCCAGGCCAGCACAATCGTGGAGTCAGTCCAACAAGTTTGAGGTAGTTGAGAGTATTCAGGGATCTCCCTAAGTTTCGACAGTAGTTGTGCTAACAGAAGTGCTCCACATAACTCCAATTGTGGGATCGTTTGAGGTTTAATTGGAGCTACCCGAGTCTTACTGGCTAGAATAGCCGTTGTGATCCGCCCGTCGGGGAGCTGACACAATAGGTATGCCACTGCCGCATACGCTAACTGCGAAGCATCTGAAAACCCGTGAATGCTACCTTGAGAAAATTCAGAGTTTTGTTGTGTCCAACGAGGTATGACAATGTTAGATAAATTGCCAAAATCATCATGGATCTTCGCCCATTGCGAGGCTAAGTGTAGGGAGAGCGGATCGTCCCAAGTGATTTGTTGTCGCCACAAGGATTGCATAAACATCTTGGATCGTACAATGACTGGGGACACCCAGCCGAGGGGATCAAACAAACTGGCAATGAGAGCGAGGACCTGACGCTTAGTCGTCGCGGGAGGTGAGCGTATGGCTACATTATAGTTAAATGAATCCAAACTGGGGGCCCAAACAAGACCTAAAACCTTGACCGTCGCCCTATCGGCATCCGACGGACTCCACGCTAAGCCGTGATTATCGGGATCTACTCCGGCCAGCAAACTATCCACATTACTACCCCATTTACGCGGAACAAAGTGACCCCTGCTGAGCAGGTCGCAGAGTTCGTTTTTCATCCGGCTGAGAGTGTGAAGGTCATTTGCTCCGAACAAGCAATCATCCACATATACAAATCGTTTCAGAATCTGAGCTCCGAGCGGAAACGCGTGTCCTTCATCCAGAGTCAATTGCTGAAGGACCTTCAACGCGAGGTATGGAGCACACGCGGTGCCGTACGTGACAGTGGTCAATCGAAACTCCTGAACCGGATCACCTGGAGTCGCCTTCCAGAGAATTCGTTGATAATCTCGATCGTCAGGATGTATCTGAATTTGCCGGTACATTTTGGCTATGTCGGCTGTGTAGACAAACTGGTAGGCGCGCCACTGCGACAAAATTATAAATAAATCGGATTGGAGCTTCGGACCTATCATCAAATGAGAGTTTAGCGACGTGAAGTTCGTCGTGAGAGCCGAAGCATTAAACACCACCCTGAGTTGGGTCGTGGTACTATCGGGCTTTACAACAGGGTGATGAGTGAGGTAGACAACTTGGTTAGTCTCGGAAGACGGAGGGGGAACTCTTTCCATGTGGCCGAGTGCCTCATATTCCGCCATAAATTCGGAATATTTTTTGTGCATGCTAGAGTCGCGAGAAAGTCGTCGATCGAGTGATGTCAATGAACGAGAGGCAGCAACGCGAGAAGCTCCGATCGGTATAGGGGGTTCCGTTTTGAACGGCAAGCGAACCACGTATTGTCCTGTCGGAGTGCGCGTATGAGTAAATGCAAAATGTTCCTCGCACTGCACTTCCTCTACCGTATGGTTGACCGCTGTCGGAATACTTTCAATTTCCCAAAACTTAGTCAAGGACGCATGTAGCGTATCGTTATCCACGCAGTGCAGGACGGTTTCTGCCATGTCTACGCTTGGGTTAACCGTAGACGTTGGTCCCGATAACACCCATCCTAACACGGTGTTTTGAGCTACTGGCTCCGAAGGTGGACCGCGCACTAACCCATCAAGCAACAATGACCCATATAAGTCCGCGCCAATGAGTAGCTGCACTGGTTCACTGTCAGTAGGATGGTCATCGGCTAACTCTAAGCCCTGCAGATGAGGCCACGCGACCTCCCTGCTGGGGAGCTGAGGACAATAAGTTGTAAGCGTTTGCAAAATGAGAGCGTCGATGCGGAATACAGGGCCATGGCCATGCTTTGGCCCTATCGAGAGTGGGGCTACCGACCAAGCGGTTCCCGCCGAAACACCGCCAACACCAACGAGAGAGTTAGTGGCCTTGAAAGTGCGACCTTTCAACGCGCGAACCACCGCCTCCGAAACGAACGATCGCGTCGAACCCTGATCTAACAAGGCTCTTATTTTCACCGTACGCGCCGCTGACGACGTCACCAGCACGTGTGCAGTTGCGAGCAACACGCGTCGCAAACCTTGCGATACCGGGGCAGTCATCATAGTGATGACTTGACCTTCAGACGATGCCCCCGGAGATTGACATTCCGGATCGCTTGCAGTCGCCGATGGCGGCGACTTTACGGAGGTCGAAGTCGATTCCACGTGTAGCAGTGTGTGATGCCTGCCATTGCACACGAAGCATCCGCGCGTACTGCTGCACTTTGCCGCTGTGTGCTTCGACCCTAAGCAATTTATACATAAATTCATATCTTTGGCGCGCTTAAATCTTATCGGCGGCGTCAACGCTTTAAATTGAGAACACTTGTAAATGGTATGAGGTTTTTTACAGAGCGGGCACGACCACGTGGAAGTTGCGACGACGTGAGAATTTATTGCATGTGATTTTCCATGATTTGTCTGTCGTACTGTACTAATTGATGCCGGCTTCGAGCAAGCCTCTAGACCCCGTATTCGAGTCGCGATAAACTTATCCAACACCGAGAAGTGCGGAAACTCATCGGTATCACCTAATTGCAACTCCCAAGCACGCCGCGTTTTGGGATCTAACTTCGATGCCACAAGACATACAAGCATGTCACTAACGCCGTGAATTCCCGGAGTGTCCACGTCTGACACATCTGTAACGTAACTGAATCGTTTCGCGGTCTCTAAGGAAGCTACAATTTCCGTTACGCGATTTCGCAACGTTCGTAACGATTCGACCGACTCCGAAGTCACGGGAGATAGCGCGAGCAGTGAGTTTATATGTGCAGTCACTATAGAGCGAGAATTTTCGTATCGCGAATTAAGCAAATTCCACGCCGTCACAAATCCTTCACGGGTGAACGGTGTATTCTTTATCAAATCATTTGGTTCGCCCGCGAGACTCGACTGTAAATAATGCAACTGTTGTATTTCGTCAAGAGACTTATTTTTTATTATCAACGACTCAAAATACGCGCGATATTTCGCCCACTCTGTATATTTACCGGAGAATACAGGCAGAGTGATTTTTGGAAGATGATCGACATGTCGAGCTTCTCGCTTCACCGGCGCCGATGCCTGTCCCGAGCCATCCGGTTGTCTTGGAGAAATTGCATCGGCCGTGGCTATATGGAGGGACAGCAAATCTGTTGCTTGGAGATACCGATGCTCTGCTTGACCAAAAGCATCATCCTTCGTGTAGCGTTGAATAGCCTCTGTGTCTGGATCGAAACACACCAATCGTAGTTGAATATCGTGACAGTTTGACCAACTCTCATGGAGAATCCTTAGTCGATTTTGTAGAATCGGCACTGGTGGCGGGTTTGTGACGAGTTCCTGTATGCTATTGACTTGCAAGTTAATGGATTGCAATTGTGCGTGCATCTGATTCAGCACATCCTGCACCGTGGCGACCATCGTTTCATCCACATCCTTGGTGTCGTTTCCCATTGGAACTTCTACGTGACACTGTCGCGACGCGCCACGCGGTGATTAGCGAGATCGTTTATGCGTGCGAACTAAACGAGCAGTTCGTCACGTTGTTAGAGGCGACGCCGATTGCGGAGCTAAAGGGGGCCAGTCACGCAAGAATGCGGATGCTTGCGTCGCGAGTGTCGCCGAGCTGACACGACAATATCCGAGCTCCTGAGAAGGAACGACCGTACCGAGTGTACACAATGGCGGCTTGTCACCGATTTTCGGTTGAAAAATGTCGATGAGTGAACCTTTGTCACTACAATTTCCTCACACTGTCCTTTAATGGGTTTTTCTTTTCGCTTTGTGCACTATCAGTTTTCACCGCACCCGATCCTGGCAGGATCGCCAAATGTTCCGTATCGGGAGTGTACGGTAAGGAGGGGGCCAGGTAATTAACGGGCAAAGTGTTTCGGTTTTCTTTCCACTTTATTTTCAACACCACACACTGAGAAATCGTTCTCAATTTCGTTATTGACTCCGAACCTCCAACACGAAATCGTTGACAACGTGAGGGTCGCGGCGTCGTGGCCACCCAAAGTCGGTATCCCCGCACAACCACAAAGGTACAAGCGAGCGGTGCAGCGATTAAGGAGCGGAAAAAGGCCCACGACAGAACGAGCAATCGTGATGAACGGTCGGCTAGATAAAAACGAGAGAGCCAGCTGTAGCGCGCAACGCCAGACCCCCCCGCATCACGCACGTACCCAAAAGCGTCCACAGAGGGAGCTCGGAGCTTGATTAATGCGAGACATTGAGCTACCGATATTATACACGAATAATTCGTATAAGGAAATAACAAAATGCGTACAAGCTATCGTTATAATTATCGTTCAAATTTTGTATTTGATTTGATTTCAATGTTTCAAATTTATCTTAAATTACTTATATCGATTGCGAACAATTCTGTATAATTAGGAAATATTAAATTTTGTACTATTTGTCATTACTGTTTTATTAGTCAAATTATGTTTTTAGTTTAATTTTTAACGTATTTATTATACTGAAGAGGGTCAAATCTTGACCGAAACGTTTACCTATTGTTATGTTTAAATAATAATATAGAACTTATTTACATCCTTAGTTGTGGCTGTATGCTCTTTATTTTTTAACCTTTGTAAATATACTTTTTATTTATGTTATTTTTCTTAATATTACATTCATATTTTATTACTATATTATTATATCGAGATGTAGCAGCGCCAAGTGTTTTTACATGAAAAATTTTTCTATTTAAATTAAATTTTTTCGTTTTATACGGTTAATTCTTTAATTTTTTGTGATAACACTTAAATTGAGCAAGGTAACGCAATTTTGTGATAATGTTTTATATAATATTTTAAAGGTGAATTAAATAACCACTACTTCAGTTGGAAGAGAAAATGATTTTGAATGAATTGTGATATAATAATTTCATTTAAGAAGAATTTAAATCATTTAGATTGGAATAGGAAGATCCTTCAAGATATACGTATAATTAGGTTTTATTTCATAAAAATTAAAGATAGTACCATTTGGATTAAGTAAATAATCCAAAATAATAATAAAGATAGTATCACTTGGATTTTACTTTTTATTTTGATAGTAGAATTTAACTTGGCGCCACAGTTGTTGATATCAATTCCTTTATACAAATGATACGTATTATTATAGATTAATATTCATTATTTATTTAATTTAACATAGTAAATATAAAGAAATGAGATTTAACTTTATGCCAGTTCTTGATATCAAATCTTTTATAGAAATATCATTAAAGTTAATATTATTTATATAATTTGATATCCAATTTACATGGAATTTAACTTGACGCCAATTGTTGATATTAAATCTTTTTTACAAATAATACATACAATTTTGAGGAATTTCACTTGGCGCCAATTTTGTTGATATCAAATCTTTTATACGAATGATACATATCATCAGAGTTAAATACATAACAAGAAGCAGTACTATTTGTGTTTTACTTTTTAATTTAATAGAATTTAACTTCATTAATTAAGATTGTAGCATCTGAGTTTTAATTTTTCATTTGATATATTAATTTTTTTCGAAGAGTAATAATTTTTGACAGATCAATACGCGTACCGCTATTCTGTTAGATTTAGGCCGGTATTCATAGTCGATTCTTATTTCAAGACCATCTTAAGTAATATCTTAAGACGCTAATGCAGCCCTCTGATTGGTTTGTGCACTTCTTAAGACCGTACTTACGGTCTTGAATATATAAGTATGGTTATCCTTCCTCCTGGTTATTTACACCTTTATATTCCGGTCCGTTATGCGTGCTCTGTAATATCTGAAGGGTCGTGTAATCAATGCTCCTTGGAATTACCACAATATATCTATTTCATTTCTATTATCACAGAAAAAGGTGTAGTCATTTTTAACAGCCTCGATTCGTAGAAGATATATTTGAATATTCCTAAAGGGCATTTTCTGATGCGCTCTGCTCAGTAAAGTCCCTAATGAAAACCTTGGACAAGATCTGCTGCCACATCACTCCCCCACCAACGCTAAGCGAGTTTACGAATCTGACTACTTATCCTTTTTTTCCGTATTCTATACCGGATCCAGACGGTTGAGGTTGATGGATGGAAGGGGGTGAGTCTTCTAGAATTGGAGCTTTTTCTTCCATAAGGACAGGCTTCAGTCTATCTGTGTTTATCTCCTCTGAGTGTCCCTTGTAATTGATCCTGTAAATAAAATCTGATAATTTTGTTTTGATTGGAAATGGGCCTTCGTATGAGAGTTCCGAGGATCCTCTGAGGTGATCTACTCGTACGAATATATGAGTGCAGTCTTTTATCTCTTTATGTAGGAATGTTCTCTTCTCTAAGATGTGCTGTGGAGGGTCCTTGAATCTTGCGCATACGTTATCTTAGCTTTTCAGTAAACATTTGTGAACATCCGATTGGATTTTCGAAGGTAAAATATTGTCCGGGTAGTTTCAAGGTAGTTCCATAGACCAACATCCGCTGCTGATGCTTTGATGTTCTCTTTGTAGCTTGTTCGTAATCCAAGTAGGATCATTGGGAGTATATCTACTCATTCTTGCGACATGTAGCATTTAATTGCGGACTTGAGTGAACGGTGCCATCTTTCTATCATCCTATTTGCTTGAGGATGATACACTGTAGTCCTCGTTCTCCTACTACCAACCAGTTTTTGCCATGGATTCGAAAAGAGCGGATTCAAATTGAGCACCTTTGTCAGTTATGATTATGTCGCTGGTGTTCCGAAACATGCGATCCACGTATTGAAGAAAGCGTTCGTTACTGTATCTGCTAGGCAATCTGCTATTGGCGTAACTTCTGGCTATCTTGTTATTCTATCATGATAAGGCAGTATTTAAATCCTCTCGAGACTGGTAGAGGTCCGACAATATCCATGTGGACCTGATGAAATCTTTCATCGGGAACTGCAATGTGTTTAGGAACTCTCACGTTGTGTGTCGTGATATTTTTGCTTTTTGACACGCGAGACAAGTTTTCATCTATCTGGTGATATTCTTACACATATCTGGACAGACGAATCTTTGGGAAATGATCTTCCTAGTAGTTCTCGCACTCATACAGATGTGATAAACTGTGTGAAACATCGTAAATCCTTTTGCGAAGGAAAGCTGGAACGTATATTCTAATTGAATCTGACACATCGCAATATATTGTCTTTTCATTATCATCCAGATATAGTTTTTTTTAATGAGAGGGCTATCTGGGATTCCAACAGTGATTTGAGTTTAGCATCTGTTGTTCTGTGTAGAGCTCGTCCATGGAAACAACGACTGGCATGTTGATTGCTTCCAACCGTGATAAGGTGTCTGCGATCTCGTTTTCTTCTCCGCTAACGTAGATTATTTTAGTTATTATATTATTTGACTAATGAAGTCAAGTTGCTCCTCTGCCTCTTGGACGCTTTATCTGATACCTGCAAGAAGGCATACAACAATGGTCTATGGTCGGTTGGTGATGTCTCTTGCTTCCACTAGGTGTCGAAAAAATTTCAAGCTAGCGTAGATCGCTAATAGCTCTCAATCATACGTGTTGTATCTTCGCTGAGTATTTGTCATTTTTTTTGAAAAAAATCTTAGCGGCTTCCAATGGCCATCTTGATATTGCTCTAATACGGCTCCTATGGCGAAGTTTGAAGTGTCTGTCTTCAGGATGAGCTTGGTGTGTTCAAGTGGGTGAGTTAAAAGTGTTGATTCTGCTAAACGTTTCTTATTCTTTTTGGCTTCTGATATCCATATTATCAGACGCTTATCTTTCTTTTTTGCTCCCACTAAGTATGCATTGAGCGGTGCTAATAGTTCAATGCTAAAGCTGCTTCTTTATAAAGCGGTGGTAGAAGTTGACGATTTCTAAACATCGTCTAAGCTTGCTAACATTGCTTGGCTTTTTAAATTTCGTGATGACATCGATCCTGTCCGAAATTAACCTGATTCCGTTTTCTTCGACAGTGTAACCTAGATAGCCCACTTCCTTCTCACCGAATTTGCTTTTAGCCACGTTTATGGTTATACGTATTCCTTTAATCGTTGGAAGACTATTTTTAGGTGCTGGCGGTGTTCTTCTTCGTCCTTTAACGCCAGGATGTCATTGACATAACCAAAACAAAAATCTAGTCCACGAAGCGCTATATAGATGAATTTCTGAAAGGATTGTACTGCGTTCCGCAGTCCAAAAGGTATCCGGTTAAACTCGAAAGCCCAACAGCGTAGTTATCGCCATTTTGTGTCGATCTGCTGCTACTGGAATTTGGAAGAATGCTTTAACAAGATTAATTTTAGAAAAAATCCGACAATTGGCTATTCGATATGTGAAGTCTTGCATACGTGGTAGAGGGTACTTATCTGGTACGGTAGCACTATTTAATTTACGGAAGTCTCCTCAAGGTCTCCATCCACCATCGCTCCGGACCATGTAGGGGACTCGCTTATCGAGAGGATGACGGTCGGCAAATTCCCAGCTCCA